AGGTCCTTTCCAACCTTAATGATTCTGTCATCTCTATGCTGCTATCACTTTGTTCTCCAGATTCTCACTTCCCTTTCCTTTTCTTGTCTGCAGTTAAGATGAGAATCTCAAAAATGTTATCTAACTGTAAAAAATAGATAAGGAATCTGTTGAGACCCTGGAGTAACAGTACAGAGAAGTATGAACTGTCATAGTAATCTTTGGGGTGCTAGCTCAGGTGCTCAAGAGTTATCATCATAAATGAGTTACTCAACTTAGAGGAGTGCAGACAAACCTTTTCAAATAGTTGCAGAATCTTAAATGAATTATCAGCTAAATCAGAGTAGAAATGTGTAGCACTGGCAGGCCCAGAAGAAAGATGAGAAGGATTTGCAGCAGTACATATTTTATTCAAAGTAGGTGACATTCTGGTAATAAGTGACAGCGTGTCCCAAACACCAGCCTGGCTTATTACACTGTGATGAAGAAAGTACACTCCAGGCGCCTGACAAAGTGCAAGCTTTGTGGAGAGAGACAAGCTCTATGAGTCCAGCGGAATGCAGACAATATGGATAGTGCCTTGCTAATGGTTACCAGATTAACAGGTTGAGTGATAACAGCAAGGTTTGTCACCCTTCACCTTCCTGTTCTTAGTTACCTCTTCTGGTTTGGAGCTGCTCAGATAACCTGCTTTACTCTTTTGTTTTTACTATATGAAATATGATTCTGTCTTTCACTGTCTGATATGTTAAGTAAAACCTTAATTGCTTTCTGAGGCCTAAAAAAAAAAATTACACGTGACTGGTGTTAGGGTTTTTTTTGAGGAGAGAGAAGACAGTAAGACTTCAGCAGCCCTATTTGCTTTTGATTTCATTGTAAGTGATCTCTTCTAACTGTCCTCTGAAAATACAGTTCTATTTCATGGCACAGTGGGAATTCAGCTTTCTCCCATTCTGTAAGCAGGACATAACGATAACATGTAACAGTAAGTAAACGTATACTTAGAACAAGAAGTGAATGACACAATTCCTGATTCCTGCAACTGTTTCACTAAATACGCCTGTGCAGTCATTAGTCCACGTTCTTTAGTTTCCCCATGTGCAAATCTGGGGTAATGATAATGCTTACTTTCCTGGTTGACATTTCTTGAGGCCAGATTATAAGTTGTAGAAAGAAATTTTTGGGGAGTCCTTATGGTTTTGTTGGGATGTGATGTTCTTGCAGGACGTACCTGGAGGAAGAGTTGACTAAGGCCCGTGAGAAACCAAAGCTGCGTAAGGACATGTACAAGAAAATGATTGAAGTGGATCCTCTTGCTCCCACAGATGAAGAGAATGCCCAGCATGCTGTCACCAAACCCCGATACATGCAGTGGAGGGAAACCATCAGCTCTAGTGCCAACCTGGGCTTCAGGATTGAAGGGATTAAGGTAATAGTTTCACTTCTGCCTGATCTTCGAGACCAAAATTTGATTGGTTAATCAAAAAGTTGGTGTGCATCAGAACCCAGGTTTTCCAAAGGATTGTGTGAAAATGCACTACTTAAAACCACAGAGTACAGTGTGTTGTGGTTTTAAAGCATCCGTGGTAATTATAACAGAGTAGTGTCAACAAAGTTAAGCATCGAATGCACATCAGCCATACTTGGTTCGACCACAGAGGTGTTGCAGGAAGGACCTAAGCAAGTACATAGTGTAGATACGATGAAAATGAGACTGTTACAAGGAATAATTCAGAACTGGAGAAATAACCGCCTCTCCCCATGCAATTCCTTTTTTTTTTTATCAAGGAACTATACATGTTTATTCCGAATAAATCACAGTAAAGTGTTTTTGTTCCAGTTATGTTTATCTGCAAGGCATGTTAAAAGCATTACGTTAGATATTCCTGGGATTGAGAAAATCCCTTTTCCTTTTAAACACATGACAATATCTGGTATGGATGGAGCTGGAATAAAGCCAAAACAACCAAAAATAAAAATTCTCCATCAACAAAGTCCATCTGCTACTCTTGATGGATAAGTTTGTGCCCCTATACCATTGCTAGGATACTACCTTATACAGCCCCAGAAGAATCCTGCAATTTTCTTTCCTACCCATTAATTCTTTATATTTGTTGTGCCCCGTGGCAATGTCAGATACCTACCCAGAAACCTATTAGGACCTACTCTCAGAATATCAGCCACCTGACTCTGTTACTTGAACGTTAACACTTGCTGGAATACAGAAGTGTGCTTTCTGCTTGCGTAGGCCTGTCACAGCTAGCCTTGAACTAGTTTGCTTGGGTTTAGATAGTGGTGTACCTGTAGCAGCACAGAGCATGGTGAGGGCTGCCCAAACCCACCCGCACCTTGGATGAGTACTCGTTACCTGAAGCCCATGACGGGACAGCTATGAAGAAGTTAGTGCAGATTACCCTGTGTGATTTCAGGGTGTTCCCAGAGCACATACATTTTATTTCGGTATGTTAGGACATTGTAAATGATAATCTGGATGAGTTTTGCTTCCATTTCATAGATGAAGCACATGGGAATAAGAAAGGGATAAAAGAGGGTGACACTGACAAGCAGAGGCTCTTTAAACAGCCTCTTCTTCTCTGCGTCCCTGTGTTGTCTTCTGCCTTCCTCATTCACAGATTCTTCTCCTGTGATACAGGAACTAGGGCTTCCAGCTCGTGCTGTGCTGGCCCTCTGTATGCTGTGCCACCCACTCCTGGCTGTTAGACCCAGGCATCCCCATGCAGGAGCTCTCTGGGTGGTAGATGATCTGGCTCCAGTCCAGCCAAGACACTTCGTGTCTTACCCTTTAGCCATCTAATGACGTTATCAAGATACCTGTTTTATTCCTATACCACTTATGTCTTTGGATGCTCTGTGTAATGGAATCAGAAACCCAGATGATCTTGAGACCTTCTACATATGTTCTTGGAAAGATAGTTGGTCAGTGTAGAAGACTTCAATTTATGTTGCATCCTGGAGAGAGACAGAGCTAAGGGAGCACAGAGGGGCTCCAGTAAACCCCCCTGGCTTGTTCTTTGTGGTTTGGCAGGTTTTCAGAGGTGGGTAGGAGCAGTACAGCACACAGAGACTGTATGATATTTCCCTCTGTTGAGACAGTGCTGTAACTGTGCAAAACAGGAGCCTAATACTTAATCTTTCATTAAGCACAGGAAATGCTTTGGAGTATTACAGTAGTTTACCTTTTCCTCTATCTCCCTATGCTGTTATGAGGGATGTAGGTATTATTCTCTTCCTTTTTACATGGAGAAATAGTGACAGAAAGCGAGTTGTTCAAGCAATACATCTAGTCAGTACTCCCTACACTGTTTCACTGTAGCCGAACTGTACATCCAGTTCTGTGTATTTGGAGAAAAGCAAAGCTGTGCTGCAAAGATCCTCATTTTGAGAGGAGAGCCTATAAGGGTCAGTGATGCCAGCTAATGGTTGGTGGGAAAAAGGGAGTTAGCTGAACGGATATGTTGGGTTTGGTCATTCAGAAATATTCGTGCCCTGTGGCTGCTGGAGTAAGAAGCGGAAGCAAAGAAACTGAGATCATAGAATCCCTGCTGTGAAGTGGGTTCCAATAAATCAGATCTGATTCACTGTATGCACTCCCCCTTCATCAGTGGGATGCCTTTTCTCTTTAGGTTGATGCATCCCTTTTCCTTGCCTTGCTTCCATATCTCTGAAATCAGGCCAGGTTCACTTACGGTATTTGTCCCTCTTCCTTTTATCAAAAATAGTTGGAACCATTGGATTTCCTTATAGCTGGCCCCGACACTCAGTCTTTCATGCCTGCCAGATTCAGAATGCAGGTTTCCTCGCTGGCAGGGGCTGTCTGAACGCTAGGCATCACAAACATTGCCTTTGTAACACTATAGTCTTGCAGAGCAGAGTGGCATGGGGCCGAGAATTAGGAGTTCTGGCTTCTTATTCTGTCCCTGAAACTGTGTGCAGTTTGGGAAGTTACTTCTTCCTTTGATACCATTCCTTTGTTACTTCTTTCTCTGGTACCATTCCATTAGCTGTGGATGAGGGATAGCCATTTTTTTTTCCAGGAGGACATCAGATTTGATTCCTAAATCTTTGTGAATCCATTTAGGTCACGACCTTAACCCAGAGCCCTTTAAGGGAAGCCTGCAGAGGAATACAAGCGAGACCACACAGGTTAAGATAGGTAGCACTATTTTATGGGGCAGCCAAACCTGCCCTCCTGCTAGCCATGTCACTGTCACATCTAACGGGAAGTGCTGCAAGTGGCCCACCAGCTGCGCTGTGCAACGGACTGCTCTGCTGTGTAGGAATGTGTGTGGAGGCCCTGACAAAGGTATGACTTCAAGGAGCAAGTCAGGCAAGCGCTTCCTGGGGATCAGGTACATCCAGAGTTGTTGCAAGGCCCTGGTACAGAATATGAGGGATGGTGCCATTCAAAATCTGTATGTTGTTTACAGCATGTCAGGTCAGGCAGCAGTTACATTTGCTGCCAATCACTGCAAAGGAACAAAATCATAAAAGTGTCTTAACAACAGGGAAGTAAGCAATTAGTCTGTCCAGACAGAAAAGAATGAAAAGGGAGCACACAGCAGCTATTCCAGACTTTGCTCTGGGATTTGGGGCATGGGGAGAAATTCTTGTTAAAACAGCCTTGCTCCAGTGAAGAGGTACGAGGCATCAGATTAAGTTCCAAGTGTCTATGTGCTTTGAGTATTATCATACATCAGATCAGATGGTGAACTTCTCTTGCGTAACTTACGCATCTCATCAGGCTGACATGCCACACTTGTATCTGGCCCACAGCCTTGGAATAAAATTCAGTTTATTCTGCTGCTAGAAAGTCTGGTAGGTGGGAGGCTGTTCTGCCTGGCTTTGCCATTCAGTCAGTTCATTCTCTTGCACGATAAATCTGGATATTTAGCATTATCAGATTTTTTTCATGTATATACTAGGGGCCTGAGTTCTGCTGTAGAGTAAATCGCACTTCACCTGCTGAGACTGGAGCTGAATTTACTGGGTTTTGGTGTAGTGACTTTTAACATGTGGGAGGGAACACGTTTTGGTGATCTGTTGATTTACTCAAAATGGAAATGAGGGATTTCATTGGACTGATACGATAGAGAGGAATACAGTTTGATAATCTTGCAGGCTTTTAGTGCATACAGACTACCAACTGCAATAATTGCTGTATTTTATATGCATATCCTAAAAGCTTATATCTGTGTCCATTGAAATAAGGGGGATGTTCTTGGAGAAATGCGTATTCATATAACCTTTGTTGACAGATGTCTCCGATTCATGGACTGCTCTTACTTGTAGTCCCACAAGAGCAAACTGGTCACTACCAGCACATAGAAAGACTTGTTTTTTCAGTAGCAGGATGCTTCTGTACTGAGTTGTAACACTAGCACAAAAATACTCTGAATTTCCAGGACCCAGTTGGATACAAGCGTGCATGTACAGTCCTTTGCCAAAATTCACACACTTGCTTTGTCACTGCTAGCACTGCAAATCCAGAGTTGTTCTTGGCTGCAACTACCTTTCTGTTCTGTGACTTCTGGGTCACATTAATGTGCAAAGGTATATTGGGAACTGAGTCTTAACCGCAATTCTTTGTTTTTCAATGGGGAAAATCAAAAGAAAACCACAAACAAACAAAAAGGACTACTAAAATCAGGTTTGAAAATGTCCCCTTATACCCCCAGCCAGAGTTTGACTACACCAAGCTAGACAAGAGGACAACCAAAGAGGTCACTGTGGTTTGCCCCATTGAACTTTGCACTGCTAGTAATGACATGTGAGAAAACCCTCCTGCAAGCTGGTAATATCATGAGTTGTTTGGGTTGTTTTTTTTTTTTTGGTAACTGCACTCAACAGGAAATGAAGTGCCATTTAAAGTTATCCAATCGGCTTTTCTATCTTTTCTCCACTTCTTGCTTGGTTTATCTGCTCACTTCCTGTTCAGCTACTCACTTTCATCTGGTTAGCAAGAGCTGAGTTGCTGATGGTTCAAGAGGATTGACTGATGAGGGGAATGATATGAGAGCAGTATAAATAGTGTCTGTGTGTTTTTGTGCAGAAGGCGGATGGAACATGTAACACAAACTTCAAAACTACGAAGACACAGGAGCAAGTTCTACAGGTTTTTGTGGAATTCATTGAAGGCAACACAAGTATCCTGGTGAGTCAGAACTCTTCAGGTTCACTGATCTCCAACCCAATGAACTCGCTTCAGGGCCATGTGTTTTCTGGTACAAGAAAGACGAATTAAACTATCAAGGAAGAAAATGGTTTGGACTTCCAGTCCCTCTCAGCAGATGGAGTGGACATGGGGACTTGGTGGGCTGTGAGAAGCAGTTAGCTGAGACCAGTTCTGGCAGCTCTTGCCGTGAGTTCTCCTCAGGTTCCCTATGCTAGCAAAATCTCAGTCAAGCTAACTTATGCCTTGCCATTGGCTTTGACCATGAGTGTTAAATGCATCAGAGGGATGATGGTGTCTAAGTGACATGGCAGGAACAGTTGTGATTTGGGAATTCAGTCTTGCTGAAGATAAAACCAGAGCATGGGGCAGAAAGTGAGATTAGTGGCTGGCTGTGCTCCTATGTGTGAGACTCGCCTCAAAGAGCAATTCCTGTATGCTACTTCACAGGTAGCACAGCAGGCCTGTGGTAGGTGGCATAACATGTCTCTTGTCTTTGGAACTTCAAAGGATGCCATAATGTTTTGCTGCAGTGTAGAAGCCGTTGTGAAGGCAGATTAGCCCTCCAGGAGGAGCATGCTTGGTAACATATTAAAAAAGTATACTAGAGCTTTATGCATTAGGCCCTGATTTTTATGTTTTTTATTCCACCCTGCCATGGTTGGAGCTCCTTGTCTAACACAATCTCATTGTGTTCTCACTGTGGAGAACTGAAAGATTTTTAATTGATTGAAACTTTTTTCTCTTTATTTAAAAAACAAAAAGGGGGATGCAGAAAGTGTGCAGCCGGATGCTATCTCATTGCATCCAAAGCAAGACAGATAAGTATGCTTGGTGTAACACTTGCAGCAGAGGAACTCAGCTCTGTTCATTCACTATGAAAGCCTGTTAAAGTGTGTTTTCAGATTTACTTTCAAATGATGAACTTGTTGTTTTGAAGGACCTCTAGCCTAAAATTAATGTGATCTCTTCATTATATTGACTCTCATAAACAGAGTATCTTCATTCATTCTTTACTTAACTGTTTACAGGTTGTTTTTTTCTTTTCTTTCTCCAGAAAAAATACCTCAAGCGTCTGCAGGAAATTCATATTGTTCTTGAATCCTCAGACTTCTTCAAGCGACATGAGGTGAGCAGCAAGTGTAATGCTGTGGAAGTGCATTGCTGCTTTGTTTGGTTATTTGGATGTACTTCAGAATAGCCTGCTGTGTTAGTAGAAGGGAGTTTGTAGCAGAAGAAAACTTATATATGTTAACAACACAGATACCTCAAAGCCTCCATCACAATGATACAGAAGATTAAACCAGCTGAGGAATAATAAATCCTCCCATCTTTATAACATCCCAGCATTTATAGCTCTGGGCCACTGCGGGGAATGGTTTATTAGTACTGGTTTCCTGTGGTTTCTCTAATCTCAGTGTGTTCCAGTGGGAATCTTTGTGGGGGAATGGTAATGTGGAAGCTTGCATTTGGTACAGTAGCATTCAGTTGTAGTTTGATAATGAAGACTTTATTAGTTATATTGGATTTGCATTGAAAGATGGTATAATTTTGCTCTGTGTGTTCCTCTTGTATGCTTTGCTGTGCAGAAGGCATCATCAGCATTCTAAGTTCTGCTTGTTACAGCTCAAGATTTTGAGAGCAGACATTTTATTCTACCTTGTTGATTTCTTCTTATCACTAGAGGCATTTTTGTTAATCATGGGTTACGCTTTTCCTTTTGAAAGTAGCCACTGGCTTTTGCTGAACTGCTCAAATTGAGACCTGCTGCCAAGTGAGCTGGAGAATTGCTTTTCTTCCCTTTGTCTACTGGGTCCCTTTTCCCATCTACAGGCCATTTATACGTTACTGATTGATATGGTTATGCAAATTGGGCATGTAGATTGACCATGTGCAAGTGCAGCCCAAAAGTCTGTTGGGTAACAGGTGAGAATGTCACCTGAGGAGGTCGTCATCTTAGTGGGAAGCGTTAAGTGATGGGGAGAGCTAAAGAGGTGTTTTTAACCACATCATCTCAATCTGTCTTCCAGGTCGTTGGAAGTTCACTACTTTTTGTACATGATGGCAGTGGGAATGCCAATGTGTGGCTGATCGATTTTGGAAAGACCACCCTTCTCCCTGATGGGCAGACACTGGATCACAGGATCCCCTGGCAAGAAGGCAATAGGGAGGATGGGTACTTGTTGGGATTGGACAATTTGATTGGCATCTTGGAAAGCATCACTGAAAGATGAGTTGAGAATGGCACAAAACTGGCAGGGCTGCTCTGTAACTTTCTGCTCTACTGGGATCACGCAGTTAGAAAGAAACCTTTAACTCCCTCCAAAATCCTGAGGTCATCAGTGCAGAGGGAGCTGCATATGGAATCCAGCAGTCATCAAAATAACTTTGCATCGGCCTTCTGTGAACCCAAATAATTCCAGATTAGTCTGTATTGCATCAGCCTAACTTCAGTCTGGTCCTCAGAGAATGAAGATCTCCATACTCAGGAATCACACCAGCATGAGTCAAGAGATCTGTATGGTAAACCAGAATGATTCTGATTTCTCACAAACAGCTGGGACTCCAGATTACCTCTTAGTGAACCAGAGCAAGTATATGGGGATTCAGGGTAGAATAACCATTTTTTGGGGGTACTCCATAGTTTGGAAACCAGCAGGAGTGGTGTTTTTGTTGTTTGGTTTTTTTTCCACCCCCTAGTAGCAAGTCTCCTTGCTCTTGTGTACACTGTAGGTTGGACCAACAACTTCCGCTGCATTGTGTTACAGTGTGCACAAGGTGGAAGTGGGTGATAATGACAAGAAACCTGGAGCACAGGGACATGGCAGGATGTGGTAGTGGCTGGATGTGGTAACTGCTGTTGACCATTCCTCCTCTTCCCTGCCCTAGGCTTGATTCACTTCTATCCAAGAACAGGCTTTGCTTTTATGTAGCCTCTCAGGAGATTACAAATACCCTAGGGAGAGAATAGCTGCCTATTGTCTCCAAAAACATTTGACTTTCAGGCTGGGTGGGCTGCTGGAAAAGCACCTAACTTGGCAAGTTTGGCCACTTGCAGCTGAACTTCAGTTCTGAAAATTGGTAAAGACTCTTTCACACACAGATGAGGGAACTAAGGGTTTTTTTTTTTTGCCAAGACTTGTTCCTTTTCAAAGATAAAACCCCTGTACTCATGCACACACATGCTCACACTAGTAGCCAGCAACCAATGTGATCCCTTAAGGTCATGGTCTGACTGTCTCCTAATGCACGTGACTCCTTGGCCATGTTCCTGTTCCCAAATATGATGCTGCCACCTAAGTGTATAGACTGGCACAGCTATCAGGAAATTTATATTTCTGCATTCACAGAATTACACTGATGATGAGATAATTCCCAGGCATCCTTCCTCCAAGGTATCAGCTGTTAACTCAGGGCAGTTTGGGGGAAGGAGTGTCAATACATCACCTCCTCTAGCCCCTGTCTGGAATCGCAGGGCCATCTGTGGTTCATTCTTCTTTTGCTGCGGCCCAGGCATAGCCACAGAAAATTCAGTGTTTAGGTTAAAATGAAAAAAGACTGAAGTGGTTTCTTGTAATGGCTTCACATACCTTCTCTATTGGTTGCTTCTAGTCACTTGAACAGTTCTTTAAATACTAGCAGTGTAAAAACTATCAGTATTCACATGTTCACTGATATTCCAGGTTTTAACATTAATAATGTGATGATGCAGTTTTGAAAATGAGGACAAGACTTAATATCATATTTGATTGTTAATCCCCTTTCAGCATCTAAAGCTGGTAATGCACATTGATCAGAAACTGCTGTCTTTTGCCAGTGTCCTGTGTTCAGAAGAGATTCTGAGAACTTTAGAATATATGTAGGTGACTCCATACTCTAGGAAACTGCTATTTCAATAGTACTGATCATGAGGGGAAAAAAAAAAAAGACCAGAGTGTCCAGATTTGGAAGGAAATGTATCTATAACATTTGTAATTAGAATTGAACAGTCTAAAATAACTTCTAAAATTAGTTACCTCAGATAACACACTACTGTACTCAGAGATCAGTCAGATTTCATAACTTTTTCATCACGTTTAAACAAAACAGCAGTATTGAGTATTCTGTAGGGAGTAATGACATGTGGAAACATTTCATCTGAAAACAGAAGTTGTTTGAAACTGGTACTTATTTTTGCAGTCCACTGCAAAAAAAATTTTTTGGGGGCAAATTCAGACTTCTTCTGTGGCCTCCCAGAGTCCCTCTGTTTTATTTTCATGATAGTATGTTAATGAATTTTGCACTTAGATGTTTCAGAGGGTTTACAGTTTTGGTGGGTTATTTGGGGTTTTTTTAAGTGACAATGAGCCTTCAATAGAGAGCACAGATAGCATTCCAGATGCCTCCTATCTTTTGAACTGCTATGAGATGACTAATTAATCTGTGGTGGATTTCATACAATTTAAAAAAAGTCTCCCTCCTTTGCCTCCTTTCCTTCAGCCAACAGGTAAGCCATTGGCTAGCAGTGCTTGAGGAAAATAGGAAGTAAATAGGTCTCACAGGGGAGGACTTTAGTAACAATATGTTTTCTATAAGACTGCGGTTGCAAGCAGTCCTACCATAATAATAAAAAACAAATTAGAAAAGTTAGAAATGAGACTGTTAATGTGATAGAATTCATTAGTGGTTTTCCTAATCAATCTTCAGAGTTAAATTTCTTTTGTCTTTTGCCACATATGTTTATCTGTGGCACCAGTGTAACTTAGTTTCTAGAGGCGAAGCTTAGAGGGTAAAAGTTTATGCTCAAATGTCAGTTGAGAATTTGAGACAAACTTTTAGAATGACTGTCCAGTTCTAAAGGAGAACTAGAAGCAACATGGTACCAGCAGCTCCAAAAAAACCCCAACTGCTGCTAGCACCTGGATGGTTTGCAGTATGTGGTCTTGGGGGAAGACATGGAGAATTGCTCATTCCTCTGCAGCAGTTGGAAAGGTCGGGGGGGAAAAGAAAACTTCTGTTACAGCAGATCCTGGTCTAGAAACTTGTTGATGATAACTAGTTCTAGCAAGTTAGTTTTGAAATGGCTCTTTGCCAAGGGGTAAGAAGGGAAGAAGCCATAATCCACTGCTGTTGTGGGAAAGGAGAAAAGGAGGCAGCTTTTCATTGGCAAATGGCAAGTGTAGGATTGCCACTGAGCACTGGGGCTCCAAGCGGCTGGAGGCTATGAGCAAACTACCACAGGGTACGTTAGATACCTTGATTCACATTGGATGGCCCAGCGTGCCTGTCTGTGTACACTCACTTGCTAGGGTGAGGAAGCAGCATTGCCACCTTTCACCATGAAGTAAGTTGCCTTGAATAAGCTTGTATTTACCAGAGGGTTAACATGATGCCTTTGCACAGGCATGTAACATAGAAGAGCTGATGCATGATAACCGAGGTACTCCTTCACATACCAGTGCACAATGTAGTTCTTTAATGCCTCTGCTGAGATACTGGCTCACTCCAGAGACACTGAGAGCATGGTAGGATATGCTGGCCTGGAGGCACTTAGAGGTGAGCTGTTCAGCATCAGACTTTGGCACTAAGGTCTTTAAACTCACTAGTTAGATGCAGCAATGCTTACCACTCTAGCTGCTGTGTTCCTGTACGAATCTAACAGTAGGACTTCTCTCCCTCAACTTTGTCAGTGACTTGTTTTTTTTGGCCTTGGACAACTATCCTAGGCTTCAGTTTTGTTCCCATTTTACAGATGGGAATAGTACCTACTTACCTCACAGGAATGGTGTGAGGCTGTCCTTCATGATTGCTTGCAAGGTGCTGTGAGATTCTTTGGAAGAAGGTGCAATACGGAAAGAAATGCACAGAGAGATACATCAACTAAGTTTAAAAATGATGGGTGTTGGGGCCCCACAAGGACATAAATTTGAATGAAATTTAAGCAAAGTGGTAAAAATTAAATCTCTCTTAATTTTACACAGGGGGGAGATTCACTTAACATCTGATCCAGTTCCTATTATAGTGAAAGATTTCAATGGGAGTTGGACCAAACCCTTAAGTATCTCAGAGGGCTCTTGAAATTTTTTTTTTTTTTGGTATTGCTGTTGTTGTTATTTGTTATTCTTAAGGTACTGAGATCAAATGGCCTGTATCATCCACAGTACATCTGTTCTGAACACTACAATGCAATGCTGACCATGGTCACTTTTGACATTGACTGTATTGGTTGAGTGTTTGTTACTCTGAAGTGTGTATGCTACTAAATAAATGAGACTGGCAGAAAAAAGACAGCTGCTGTGATTTTGTCATAGGACAGTAGTATCTTCAAGAATTTCCTTAGGGAAGGTACAAAACCTATTTATTTCAGTGTTTCTTGTGCTAAGACATCTAGAAGCTAACATTACAGCTTGGTTCCAAAACCCATCACAGCTATGTTTGCTTTAGAACCTGATCCATGCAAAGCATGACAGCTTCCTTTGAGGTAATCTCTGTCTGAAAAATCTCAGTTCTTAGCCTGCGGTATATCAAAAAATTGTGCATCATGAGGCGCTTGGCAGATTCTGAGCAGTTAACTGTTCCATGGGGCAGTTTTGTGTGGCAGCAGGGAACAAGCAGTCAGCCCTCCAGCACGGGGAATGCTCCTCAGCAAGAGTGTGTGTCCTCTTACCTGTGTGCAAAGAGTACTTTAGCAGAGAGGGAAACAAGTAGCCACCATTAGTGTCTCTTTATTTTGTGTTGCAAATATAGCTGTGTACACTTGTCCAGCTTTAACTTGCGTAGAAGCAGGCATGTCATCTACTTATGTACAGTAGTCACCCAGAAAGGAAGTTGGCAAGAAGTGCTGCCCTGGTCAGAGGTAACAACAAATCAAAACCAATTCAACTAAATGAAAAAGTGACATGATTGAGGCAGGAGGATGTTAGTGGTGTCATGCCTAAGGTCTCTTCATCACATTGAAAACAGTAGGCAGCCAGGAGGAAAGAGCATGGCCATGTCTACAGGAGAAACTGTCTCTCAGAGCTCTGCTGCTTGAGGGTCTGAGGAAGTGTGGTCCTGGCTGACGCAGCTGTGGAGATGCCAAATACAGTGGGGAAAACCGCACTCCCAGCAGGAACGTTTTCTTCTCTTTCGGGTAAGTAGGGGAGGGTACTGGACATGGAATAAATTACACTTGCAAAAGCCCATAACTATTTAATTAGACTTGTGAAGCTTTTTAGTGCACATCTGCCCATTGGCAAATCAGTGGAGAACGTAC